GAAGGTCCAAAGAGAACTTCAGAACTCAAGCTCATGCCTGATCTTTGGAGAAAATCCATTTGGACCTTTGAATTATAGCAACTGAGTTTCTGATGGCAGGGGCTCAGGGACTGGGGGGGGTGCTAAGTGACTCTCGTCAAGCCCTCCTCAAAAGACCTAAGATCCTAGTAAATAAGAGAGGGAGAAAGTGAGGATAGGAAACAGAGTCATGGTGGGCTGAGGAGGAGGGGTCAGGAAAGGAGATGGTCAGCATGAGAAGGGCAGTGAGGGGCCCTGGGAGTCTTTCAGAATCCTCGGGAGGTCTCCTCCTCCGCCTCCTATCCCCAGCCCCAAAACCGCAATGGGGGAAGCAGGTTTGGGCTGCTGGGGAGGGTGCTCAGAATTCCACAGTAGCAGAAACTGGCACTCCCCTAATTCACATATGCACACGCGCGTGTGCGTACAAACACATACAGAGCACACACAGCACACAGACCCATGCAGGCTATCGGTGCAGACACGTGTGTGTGTGTGTGTGTGCGCATAGACATAGCATACAGTTACCCCATGTGTGCACCTGTGCATCATCCACGTAGACACACAAACGATCACAAACACGCTCATGCGCGCATAAACACACCCCCGGACACGTCCCTGCGCATACTTCAGGCCCTTCGGGTGTGCTGTGCACGTCTCCCAGGTGTCCGCCCACCTGGCTCAGGAAGGCCCAGAGCTCCTGGGGGAACATGGCCACCCACGCATTTCCTTTTGCCAGCCTCAGTGCTGGTCTTTGAGTGGGACAGGGGATGACGGAGAGGGGCATGCCCAGGGTGTTCCTGCCATAAGCACTTACCATGTCCCCCACTCCCCGCACCTCCAACACAGACCCTGAGGCCTGCTGCACTGGACCCACACACTCCCAGTCTGCTTCGGGGGATGGTGAGCCCTCCCACGCTCTGTAGCGTCGGAGGGGACAGGGGGCAGCCCTGCTCCCAAGGGCTCTGGCCTGGAGAAGGGCAATGGTGGTGGCGGGAGGCCGAGATGATCGGACTTCTCCCCCTCTCAGGGCCCACCCACTCCCCATGGCAGCACAGAGCAGGCAGCTGGAGATGGAAAAGCCAGAGGCCTTGGAGCCCCTGTGGGAGGGGTAGGAGGTCCCCCACTCTGCCCTCAGGCACCTCAGACAGGAGAGGTGCACAGCGTGGGCCCAAGGTGGCTAAACCCCAGTGCATAGGGCTGGAGAAGATTGTGGCCGGGAGGCTTGGAGCTGATCAGTTGGCGCCAAGCAGGGCTGAGGGGGAAAGAGCTTTTGCTGTGTTTGGCAGGGGAGGGGCAGAGAATGGCTCTGGGACTGGGACCCCCTGCCTTCCTGGGAAGGGGACATGGCCAGGGCCTGCCCTGGGTAACCCTGCTCTCCTGCCATGGCTCACAAAGCACTCTTATATGGGTCACCCCCTCCTGGCTATGCGGAGTCTGTGAGGTGGATATTACCCAGTCCAGGCCAAACGACTTGCCTGAAGTCACCCAGCAAGCTGTCCTAATGCTTTCCATAGCCCCTGTGCCTGTCCCTTCCGTCTCTGCCCCAACACACTCTACAAGTGCTCCCTTGGCCCAGGGCACAGGGGTGGGAAGCAGCACAGGGCGTGTGTGAGTACGTGCGTGCGTGCACTCCTGCACACGCAGCCCCTCTTCCGGGTCACCAGTCCTAGTGGGGACACTTCTCTCTCCTTTCTTTCTGTCTCCAGACAACAATCCGAGTGCCTCACACAGTCCTTAGGGCATGTATTCCCACCATCTAGAGCCTCCCTCCACTCTCTTCCCTTTGACCCCTCACCCCTGCCCTCTCCGGGTCTACAAGAGGGCTCTGAGGCATCACTGGCTTGTGAGGGTCTCCAGCAATGGATATTGGGTTACTGGGGGGGGGGGCGCTAGCAAGACTCCCTCTCACTCTTAGGGTCTGCACTGCCTTTTGCAAGCTCATCCACGCTCTGGTGATGGGCTACCTGTTCCTGGCCCTGTTATACGGTGTCCACAGCAAAGCCCTCGGCAACCTGCTGGGAGCAGTGGGGGAAGGAGAGGATAAAAGTGGGTGGCACAGAGAGGACCGGGCAAGATGCCACTAATGGTTGTGTGAGTAGTGGGAAGAGGACATACTACCCATACCAGATACCTGGGGAACCAGCAGCCCTGGGATGCACCCCTGCCTGCCCCAGGAGGACCTGAGGTCAGTTATGGGCACACCAGATATCCAGAGACAGAGACTAAGCACCCACTGCCCAGATGGCACCCAGCTAGAGTCTGTTCAACCCACACCCAAAGGGGAGCGCATTTATGGAGCACCTTCTGTGTGCCTTGTATTGTGGCAGTCACTCCACATCGGTCCTCTCCCTTGGGGGGAGGATGAAAAAATTGAGAGATAGATGTATTGTATAGATGAAAAAATTGAGGCTCAGAGAGGTAATGTGACTACATATATATATATGCAGTGAGAGTTTCAAACTTTTTTTTTTTTTCCCCATCGAGAGGTACATCCAAGAGAAAAGGTTTCCGGAACAAGACTGGCGAGTTGCAGGGGTCAGGGCGAACGTGAGGGTGTAGGCTTTGCGATAGCTGTTGGCGGCCCCTGCTGGTCGTTATCGCGAGTGCAGTATCACTCTATACCGCGCCAGATCTGCTAGAAATTCAGAACAGCCGCTTTGAGTTTTCTTTCTTTCCGTGTCCTGACTCTCAAAGCCCTGCGACGAACATCCACCCGAGGAAAACCCTTGATTTTAGGGGAAGCAGAGACACTGACTGCACCCTTGTGATCTGAGGAGGCAGGAAGGCAGACTGAGCTAATTACAGACCACAGAGGGAGAGGATGCTATCCCCCCGGCCTCCCCCACTCTCCTGCACCCGGGCCCCCCACCCCAAGGAGGCAGCGGCTAACTGCCATGGGATGCATTTTGGACCCCTCCAACCTGTTTCCCTTCTCAGCTACTCTATTTCCCGCCAGGAGCACTCTCATTCCTTGGGGCCCACTTACTGCACCTCTGGTAGGACATTCAACCACCCACCAGAAAGTCCTTTTTGTGTCTGACACTGCCCACCCTCCTCGACCAACACCCCAGACTGGGAGCTCCAGGCGATCAGGAGCCACTGACCCTGGTATCCGACTTGGTACTACTGAAGCTAGCACCTTGTCTGAAACAAAATAGGAGCATGGTACTCTGCATCAAGAAATTCTTCTTGCCACACCGGAACCTCACTGGGCTGTTGGGAGAATCAAACAATTTATCAACTGTAAGGTCCTGAAAAGATGTGAAGGGCTGGCATTCTGTAAGGCCCTTTTAGAGAGATACTTGATACCCGTCGACTGACAGTTACTGGGGGTGTGGGTGGGGGGTCAGTTTGTAAGAATAATGAATTGGATTCCACCTCCTTAGTGGGCCAGAATCTGGGATTCCACCTTGTCTTGGGGATCCTGAATGGAATTGAAGGTTTACTGTGGGTTGCTGTGGCATAATAGTTGCCTGATTGAGAAGAAGTAATTAATATTTCAGAGGGATTCAAGATCCTTCCACTTCCCAACCAAATGCAATTAGTTGAGTGATTCTCTGCCCAGAGGTGGACAGGTGACAGTAGAGGGTAGCCTTCATAATGGGAAGGGGACTTTTTTTCTGAGTTGAATTAGGAGGATCTTCTGGTTTGAGGGCTGAGGAGAGGGTTGGAAATAGTGTGCTCCCTCCAGCCTCAGGTTGGAGACAGAAACCTGCAATTCCAGTCTCCACCATCTGGGGTCGCTAACTAACTTTCTTCTCCTCCCTCAGTAACGGGGTGGGGGGAGCTCAGAGGCGCCAGGCCTTTCAGCAGAGTCTGGCCTGGTTTTATGGTTTTCCCTAAATCTATATACCAAATTTATACCTTCCAGAGCTCAGGGGTGAACTGAGTCTCTTGGGGTCCCGGGGACCAGTCCCCTGCTTCCTGGATGGATTCTCAAGTAAAACCCATTTCTGAGATTTCCAAGCAAGTTTCCAGGACGCGGTCCATTTCCTACCCTTCCTTTCTTCCTTCCTCCCTCCCTTCCTTCTTTCTTTCATTTTATTTCTTTTTTTAAAAAAGATTTTATTTTGGGGGTGCCTGGCTGTACAGCATGCTACTCTTGGTCTCAGGGTCGTGTGTTCGAGCCCTCATGTTGGGCCTGGAGCCTACGTAATAATAATAATAATTAATAATAATCATAATAAATTTATTTTAAAGTAATCTCTACACCCAAAGTGGGACTCAAACTCACAACCCCGAGATCAAAAGCCATAGGCTTCCCCGACTGAGCCAGCCAGGCGCTGCGGTCCATTTCTGGTCTTAGGAGTTCAGCTAGCAAGAAAGAGGGATGATCTCTGCATATTCTGGAAGACAATTAGAGGAGTTGGGGGACACTGAGGTCAGAGAAGTACCGTGGCTGGCCCCCTATGCTGTCTGAGCGGTGGGTGGTCTCCAGGCTGAACCTACAAGTATTCCAAGGCCACACACTATCTTTTACCAGCAGGTCTGGGGTGGAGCTGGAGGCTGGCGAAGGCAGACACCTAACTGGGTTTAACACTTTATTTACTTCTTGAGATGGGACTCTGAAGAAGGATGGCGAGTTACTTCTTTCCGTATTCCATAAGCAGGGGGTATGGACCAGCTCTCCCACCCAGACTTAAAATAAGATCTTGAACTCCCTCTGGAAGACGTTTCCCCCGTCTTTGCAAATTCTTCCAGAGACTCTGGGATCCGGCTATCCACCATTCGAGTCCTTCGAAGCTGCCTCTGAGCCCGAGACCCTATGGGGATGGGTCTCCTGCCCCTCGGGGATCTCCCTAAACTCCTCCTGTTCCTTTTCCCAGTTGGGAAACAGGATAACGGGGAAAGGTGAGGCACGCCCAGAATTGAACCTTGGCTCTAAGCTGAGAGAAGGGAGCGGAGTAATCTTTCACCATCGCCCTTTTAAGGGATCGCTGGGCGCCGAGGGACGCTAGTGGGTGCGGGTCCTAGCCCCTGCTTCCCCGAGTGGAAAGCGAGCACGGGGTCTTGGGCTGTGCGGTTTCTCCCAAACCACTACCTCCCCGCCTACCCTCTAGCTGCACGGAAAGACGACTTTCTCCGGCTTTTCGTGCGGCATCCAGGTCCCCCTCCCTTCTTCTCCCCTCTCGGTCTCCGCCCCCTCGCGCAGAGGAGGCCTCGCCGCTTTAAGAGCCGGGGTAGCGATTGACAGGCAATAAACGCGGAGCGCGGTGCTGCTCTGGAGCCGCACCGAGCTAGGGGCTGCCCCGGGCGCAGGTAGGCGCCCCCCGACTCCGGGCCAGCGCCCACCCTAGGGCCCTTGTTTCCTCTTCGTCCAGGCACAGCCCTATTCTCCGGGTCGGGTCTCCCCCGGCCCCTTCCCTGAGGCCGGTCCCCTCCCTCTCCACCGCCCGCCTCCCTCCTTTCTCGGGGGCTCCTAGGGAGAAATCAAACCCCGCTGCTTCTTGACGCTGGCCCGCGCGGTTAGGGCTCCAGAGTAACATCGGGCACAGAGCTGGTGAGCTGTGCGAGGCTCCGGTATCCGCGAGGCCTCTTCGGGGGCTGTGCGGATTCGGGGGACTTTGGAGCCGGGCATTACGTAAGAACCGCGCTGTTAGCGCTTCCGGGGGCTGGGGGCGCGCGACAGAGGTTGTGTGGGTCCCGGTGCACCCTCCCGGCCCCCTTGGGAGGCCAACACCTCAACCTTCCCTGGGAGGGGGTCCTGGGAAGGGGGGCGCTCTGCTTCTTTCGCCTCCCAGGCTGTAGGGAGGGCGGGTCGGGGTCGGGGGCCAGGGTTAGGGTCTGGAGACCTGAGGGCGGATCGGTGCCAGGAGAGTAGAGCCGGGGTCAGAAAGTTAGGTCAACTATGGGGGGGGAGGGAGAGTGAGGACGGGGGCGGGGGGGGGCATCCATTCAGTGACCTCATCTCCTGGACTCCCGCGGGCGCGCTCGCAAAGAACCTTCTTTGATGGCTCGCAACACGCCCCCCTTCCCCCAGGTCCTAGCGCCCAGCCAGTTAGGGCCCGGCTCGTGGGGCTGGGGCTATCCGATTGTCCGTGCGTGCAGGTCCGCACGTCTCTAGACCCCCCCCCATCCCTCAGTCTGTCTACCCCTCCCCACGACCTGTCGGTCTTCAAAGCGCCTTTGTCAGACCTTTCTCTTCAACATCTCTTTGTACGTGTATTAATGGAGGGATGGGTGGGTGGGAGGTTGGAGGAAACCTCCCCCTTTCGCGCCTGGTTCGCATCACCAACTGACCCTGGGTGGTGTGTATAGTCTGGAGGTAGGGGTGAGAAGACACCGAGGCCCGGGCGTTTGGAAGCCGAGGTGCGCGTTCCCAGAAGCCTGGGCCCCGGACCTTGGCCGGTAGCCAGGCTGGCTTGCCTGGCACTGCTGTTCTCCTGTGGGCACAAGCCAGGCCCCGCCCTCCCAGAGGACGGGGTGGGGGTGGGGAAGAGCTAGCCGACGCTGTGGGAACTGATTACCCAGAGAAAAACCCAGGCAGGCTGGGCAAGACTCCAGGGGACAGGATCCTCCCTGCCTCTTCTCACCTTCGGGTCTCTAAGGAAGGAGGATGTCTGGAGTCCCCCCTGCCAGTAACTGTCAGGGAGAACAGCAGCAGCCAGAAGGCTCCAGGTTCCAGGTGGTAGGGACTTTGGATGGGGGAGGAGGGAAGGCATGGGGACAGCAGGGCTTGGCACAGGGGCGCTGGCACAGGAGATCCTGGGCATTTCTCCCAGCGTGGGTGCTAGCCTGACAGGGGGTGCCCTTCTTTCCCTGAAAACTCCTTTCTTCCACGTCTTTAGGGGAAGACCCAGGAAGAAAGGGAGTCATCCCCCAACCTTTGTAATTTCTGCTACCTAAGCTCAGGTGACCAGCTCTGGCCTGGGGGCGGAAGGGATGGGGCTAGAGAGCATTTTCTTAAAACCTGGTGATGGTCCCTCTGGGTAGAATCCTTTCTTAGGGTGAGGGGAAGTTGTGGCTCCCTACCCCCGGGGCCCAGCAGGCGTTCAGTCTTAAAGTGGGCGCTGCCAGCTGCTTCCCTCTTCTCCCCTCACCCCTGCTGTGAGCCACTGCCTCTAGTTGTCATGGCAACTGAGAATTAGGGTTTTCTCCAGCAGTAAGTGCCCCGGAAGGCAAGGGGAAGAAGGGTAGTGGTGCCCCCGTGCACCCTCCCCTGGAGAATAGGGAGCCCCGTGCTTTCCTTGTCCCAGCTCTGCACTAAGAAGGGGCAAAGGGAGAAAGAGGAAGTCAGGAAGGCCTTGGGAAAGTATGACTTCATTTCTGTCAGCCAGACAGACAAATGTTTGTAGAGCATCTACACTGGCTAGGGTTGGGATCCAGAAGCAAAACAGATGTAGTTCTTGACTTCGTGGAGCTTACAGTCTAGGACTGCTCATCTTTCCTGCTTTTGACTCAAATTCTGGACTCCTACCACCCCCAAAATAAATAAAGGACAAATGGCAGGCAGAAACACAATTTTTTTTAAAGAGTCATAAAACCTGGGTGTTCAGTGTAGCTCTCTTTATTAGCTTCGTGACCTTGGGCAAAGCAATTAACCTCTCTGATCCTCCGATCTCCTCCTCCTGGGAGAAAGGGGCATGTAATATCTGCTCTTCCTGCCTCCCAGGACTGTGGGATCATGCAGTCTCTGGGGAATGCCCTGATCCTGAGGAGAGGCCCTTCCTAATTCCTTCCCCACTGCTTTGCCATTGTGCTTTCTCATTCTTTTCTCTTCCCTCCTCCAGGAGAGACATTTCAGGGCCCTTGCAGACCTCACCATGCCAGTTGCTGCCACCAACTCTGAGTCTGGTAAGAAGGGGCTGAGGATGTCCGTTTGTATCTGTGGTTCCGGAAGTGCCAGGCAGGGACTTGAGCAGGGAGAGCGGCAGCCATCAGGCACTCTGGCAGCCACCTGTAAGAATAACCCTTCCCCCACCGCTGCTCCATCCTGCAACTCAGGCTTTCCTTCAGGCAGCTTCTATGGCCCCCGCTGCACCTGCTCCAGGGTGGGGCCAGAGACACAGCTCAACTCATCTCCGTGGAGGGCAGAGGCAGGTACACTCCAGAGATGATCCGCAGTATTGCCAGAGGGCGATGGCCTGGGGCCAGGCTGGTTGGTGAGGTGGCCCTTAGGACCTGGCCCTTGGAGGATGGCTTGGGGGTGGAGGACAGCCTGGGGCCACCAGATGGGTAGACTAAAGCAGCATGTGCCAGAGATGGGTGTGTGGCTGTGTGCGTGGAGAATGCCAGCTCAGGAAGCCTGCACTTGCTTCTGTGGGAGGTTGTAGGGCAAGGGAGCGGGTTGCCCAGATGAGCTAGGAAGCCTCAGGAGCAAATTTCTTAACCTCTTGGAGCCTGTGTCTCTTCTATAAAGAAGTTGATGTGAAACTCTAAGGCTATGAGGCGGAAAGAATATTCCTGGTAGTAGTATTCACAGTTATGCTGTGCTGCTGGGTTATTACCTCAATTAGCCTGTGACTTTGGGTCCTTTTTTAGGACCTAGGTTTTCCCATCTGTAAGATGAGGTGATTGGACAAGAGAAGTGTTCTTAAATTTTCTTGGTCCTGGATCCCTTTTTGAGAATCTGATGACAGCTGTGGGCGTTCCTCATAGACAAATGCTTCTCTATGCACAACATCTGCATTCCACTCTGGGGGTTCATGGACCCTGTGTGCTGTCAGGGACCTACCAGGTGCAGATCCCTATGCTAGAGGCTATGGGCCCTCACACTGCAATCAGCTCTGGGTTCGCTCTGATTTGTCTGACATTCCCCTGCCTGGATGCCTCCTGCCCGTGGAGCCCCTTCCCTTGCTCCAAGCCTGCTGCTGCCTCTGCAAGCCATTCCAGGCCTCCCAGTTTGGTTAGTATGTCTCTCCTGTCCCTCCCCTCTGAGAAAGTGAACCAGGACAGTGAAGGCTGCTGTGGGTGGGCTAGACCCTAAACTGTGATACCCTTGCCCTCCAAGAAAGACCTTTTCTCCATGTAGTGGAGGAACTGTACTAATGTCCCCCAGCTTTGGCAGCCTTGGAGGGCTCAGTGCCCCCACCTTGTGTCCAGCCTGCTGAGCCCCCTGGGCTCTTCCTCTGCTCCAGGCTGCCTGGGCCCCACTGTAAGCTGCTTAGGGGTTAATTAAGCCCATCTCTGAGCCTGTGATTAAAGGCCTCTCTATCTGGGGCTGCCCAGTAAACCCATTAATAGTGCCTGGCAGGGGTGTAGAGGGGGGAGAATTTGACTTTCCTGCTGTAGGCCACTTGATGGGGGCATGGTGGGGGTGCAGTGGGGTCCAGGCAGGGAGTGAAGGCCAGGGCCTGCTTTCTCTGAGGACCCCTGGGGCCCCTGATCCCCTGGGTGTTATGCCCTGGGCTACTTCTGCCTTCCCATATCCAAAGGAAGGAGGACAGGAACTAGCTGCTTAACCTCCAGGATCCTGAGTTTCCTCTTTTGTAAAAAGATGATGTGCGACCCAAGCTGTGAGTCTCTTGGCCCTTCCTGCAGGCGGCCCTCTCTGCTCCCACCCTAGGCTGGATTGGCTCCTGGCATCAAAAATCTAATGATGGGCCTGCTTCTTCTCATTTGGTGGCCATTACACTTCCTACAGGCCCCATAGGAGAGACAGCGGTGGTCAGGGTCACCTGCCTCTGAGGTCAGGGTCACCCTCCCTCTCCCCGCTCCCTTCCCAGGGAGATTCCGGCCTTGGGATCTGCAGGGTGAAGCCAACAATTCTCTTCCCTATGGGTCAACATGGCCACTGTCATTGTGGAGGGGAGATGGTATGAGTGTAGTCTTGCAGAGAGACCCAGGTCTACTTCTAGTAAAGTAGAAGTAAACCCCTCAGGGGCCCTTTCCTGAGGGTTGAGGACAGGTTGAAGGATATGTGGGCTATAGCATGGACAGTGTTCAGAGAGCTTGCCCCAGGAGTCTCCAGACCTGGAGCGCTACCCTCTCTGCCCTCTTTACTTGACTCCCTCTTTTCTTGAATCACGGCTGCGTTGTGGGCCGTTTTGAGGTGGAGCTGTCCCTTTAAATCTCTCCTGCATCCCTGGGTTAATGTCCTGGTGTGTAATCCCTCCTGCTGCCATGGCAACCAGGGGTGCGTTTTGACCTGGTGTCACTCCTCAGGGAATGGCTGTCTGGAGGCAGCAGCAGTTGATGGTGTCCTCATGGTGCAGGGTATCAGAGGAATGGAGGCACTGGGCTGGGGTAACTGCCAAGTCCTTTGCTCCTGCCCACTGGGGTCCCTGATGTGAGAATGCACCCTCACCTTTTCCCTTCCAAGATGCCAGACTTGCCTGCCAGGCACCATCCCTAACCTAAGGGGAGGAGCTAGTGCGAGATGGGGGAGGGGAGGGGGCCGCTGCTGAGATGTGGGGTCAGACTGTGAGGCACCCCTCCCAGCCCAGGGTGGTGCCGCTCCCCTCCCCTCCTTTTCCTCCCTGTCTCCCCAACCTCCGCGCCCCCATGGCTAGCAGGTAGGGGGAGGCATTTGGGGCTTGAGGTATTTGCCCCGTGCCACAGTGGTGCCCCTGCTCCTGGCCCAGGACTGAGAGTCATTCTTGGGGGCTTCCTTTGATCCTGAGGAGGGCATTGTAAAGGAAACTGGGCCTGGAGAAGGAACGTAGAGGTCTGAGGGCAAGAGGAGGAAGTGGCATGCGTGTTTTAGAGGAGAGACTTCCAGAAGGGGCGGGGCGGGAACAAGCTGGGGCCAAATCCCCACCCCGCCTTGGGTTTCCCGCCCCTGGACTGTGACGGGGGGGGGGTGTCTCTGAGCACCGCCTCGGTTCTGAAGGGGCAGCAGGGGTTACCCCCCTGCCCCGCAGACCACCCCTCAGCCGCCCCCTCCTGACCCCCGCTGGTGCGAACACGGGGTGGAGGGAGCAGGCCCCGGGAGGACCGGGACTGTCTTTCCCACCGCCCCACTCTCAGCTCCTGTACCGCCCCCTCCCCAACCGGCTGCTCCAGTCGGGGCTTTGGCCAATCAGCAAGGCGGTCAGGGAGACTGAGCCTTGCTATTGGCTGATCCTGCAGAGGGCGCTCCCCGAGTCCCGCCTCCTGGAGCGCTGCCCCCCTCGGGCTGGCAAGGCAGCGGCAGCTGCCTGGAGGCTACTCCAGGAGCCCCAGAGCCGGGGGTGGGGGGCAGCCATGGCGGGCAGCCCAGGCAGCGGGGCCTCCTTGGAGGGTGTATCCCTGGGCTCTTCTGAGGAAGCTGATCTCCGGAGGGAAGGTAGGGAAAGGCGGGGTTGGGGGGGCTGGGGGCGGGGGGAACTGGCCACTTCACCTACCCTCCTTCCTCCGGGTTTGGGCATCTGGAGAGGGTGCCCCGGGAGCGGGCCCTCGGGAGCCTAAGGGAGCTGGCCTGGGCAGAGGGCACTAACTCCCCCCGGGCTCTGTCCTCCTCCAAGGCTGACAGGCTTGTGAGTCTGTAGGTGAGGATGGCTGGGGAGGGTGGATCCCAGGATACCCTGGCAGAGTGGGAAGGGTCCCTGCCCAGGCTTCTTTCCGAGGCCACTAAGGGCCTGGCAGGTGTCTGATCAATACCAAGCCCAGGCCTGGGCAGGAGGGGTCTAGAGGGCAGGCTTAGATCTTGTTTCTGGAGAAGGTGGAGAAGAGGGGATCCCTAAGCCATGTCTGCTTCTCCAGTTTCAGTGCCCCCTCCTCCCCATCCCTATTCCCTCCTGGAGCGGGGGGCACTGACAAGAGTAGTGAGAGGAGCCAGGGACTGTACCCAGGCCCCCTCCACGGCTTGAGCGCTGTTATGTAGATGCAGGCGTGGGTGGCTGGGTGGCAGAGTAATGATACCCCCTGCCCATCTCTGCCCCCAGCTGGGCACACTCTGCTCCTTCCTTCCTCCCCCCAGAACCTGCCACAGCCAGGAGCTCCCACCTCCGTGGGTGGGTACAGACAAGCCCTACCTCAGGCCACTGCTGTAGCCCAGTGTCAGGTGTTCTCATGTCCTTGGTTATGTCCCATGCCAGGTTGAGAGGTTGCTGATCCTTGGGCTGACTTGGTCTAACCTCTGCCCTTTGGTGCCCACAGCACCCGAGGGTGCCTCTCTCCCCAGCTCCTGTCAATGTTCTGGGCCGCAGCTTTGGCTTCCTATGATCTATATTAACTTCTCAATGATAATAGATCACTCTCTGTCAGAACTGAAGGGCCTGTAGACCCTGTCTAGTTCCATTAACCCATTTTACAGGAGGGAAAAACTGAGGCCAATGAGGGACCATGACTTTTGGAAAATCGCACGGAATTAATTAGTGGTGCTATTTGTACTGGGTATCCTGTATAGGCTCTGGCCTCCTGCATGGCTGCCTGCTTGACAGCACTCAGGGACACGCTCCAAGTACTCTCTGTCCTATCCCTGCGCACCCTAGGTGCAGGTGGCTGAGTCCTGGGACTTCAGCCCATCCAGAGATCAAGCGAGGAGTCTGTGGCTCTCTAGTTCAGGGCAGAACCTGGAACCTGACAACTGCTTCCCTTTCTCCCTTCCTCCCACCTCAGAGTCCATTTCCTGCTTCCTAGACCCTCCCACCTGGCCAGGTTGGCATTACCTAGGGCCTAGAGAACAGGTCGAGGAAACTGTCCCCCTCCCTCACCCCTAGACACCTGCCTCAGACATTCAGGGGCCGGGAGTGCCCGTGCTGGGCAGGCGGGAAGTGCTGCTGGAGAGGGGTCATCTTCTGTAGGACCCGGGGTGGGAGGGGTGTGTTTTGGTCTCCTGCGCCCAGCTGGCTCCTGTGTCTCACTGCCCACCCCTTCTCCCCAGCCATGCAGCAAGTCCTGGACAACCTCGGATCGCTCCCCAATGCCACGGGGGCTGCAGAACTGGACCTGATCTTCCTTAGAGGCATTATGGAAAGTCCCATAGTGAGATCCCTGGCCAAGGTACAGTGCTCCAGGGAGGTGGGCACAAGGGCACCGGCCTAGGGAGTTTATGGGGTGTTGGCGATAGGGTGCCTGGGAATGGGGCCTGTGGCCCAGAATACCCGTGGAGAGGCTCTGCATGAATATCCGTGCCCAGGTGATGAGTCTTCATGACTGCAGGTGGCCGGCTGTCCCGTGCCTGGCCGGTGGGAGTGTGGACATGCCCATGAAGATGCGGGTGACTGCCAGCTGGTGGGGGCGTGGGACTGGTGCCTGTGCATTGCAGTCTCCAAGAGTTCGTCCTGCCTGTCCCCTCTGCCTTTGGGCATTTTGTGCAGATGTCTTTTTAAGGTCACCTGCCATGCTTCAGGTGGGGGAGAAACTCACTAAGAGAGAAAGTTATTAAACAATTTGGTAATGGCCATGATAGAGGCAGATGCACTAGGTGTTTTAGGAATGTAAAGGACAGATGCCTAACCTGGTCTGGGGTAGCCAGGGAAGGCTTCCTGGAGGAAGGGCCGCTTGAGCTGAGTCTGGAAGCCTGAGGAGGAGGGGGAGGGCATTTGGGGCCAAGGGAAGAGCTTGAGCAGAAACAGAGGTGAGAAAAAGCCAGAAGTCTTGGGGGGACTGTAAGTGTGGGTGTGAGGCTGGAGCTTCAGGTACGAGACAGGGAGTGTAAGCTGCAGACATGCTCACAGGTTGTGGAGGGCACAGGGGGCTATGCTGGGGGCTTGGGCCTTGTCCTGTGATGTCCTGTGAGTGACATGGAAACTTTCGTGGGTTTTAAGCAGGGGCGTGATGATGGGACATGGACGTTTTAGGAGCATCCCTCTGGCAGCCACGTGGAGGATGGTTGGAGGGTCATGGCTGGAGCTGGGAAGGCCAGAATTGGGGATGACCCTGAACTAGACCTGTGGTAACCTAGGGCTTGAGGGAGGGGAGGATGAAAGAGGTATTTAGGAAGTGAATTGGCAATGCTTGGTGTTTGGGTGTGGAAGGTGAGGGGTGGGCGTAGCAAGGCACTCAGGATTCTGTACGGGGGAAGTAAGAGGCTGGTGCCACCGTCAGCTCAGAGGGAGGGTTGGGGATTGGGAGTGGGGTAGAAGGGCACCCCCTTTCCTGGGGTAGAGGCAGTGGAGTTGCAGGGAATCATGTCTACTTGCTCAGATTTTTCAGAGAAGGGGAGCAGTTGTCTGCTGGAAATTAGGCATCAGGGTTGAACCAGTGGATTTGGAAATGAAGACTCAACTAATCGCTGAAGGGAGGGGAGAGGGACCCCACCAAAGCCAGGGAGCAGGATGGACAGAGCCCCAGCCTGGCTGTGGCAGGTGCCTGACTTTCTGGGTTGGGGATGATGTAGTCCCGGGATGCCGGGAGTAAAGGGGGTGGCTTTGGTCCAGGTCTTGTGCTGGGTGTGGGCTGTGGAGGCTGAGATGCCGGCATGGTGTGAAGGGGACAGGGGAGAGGAAGTGTCTCGGAGAATCACCTCTGGGGCCCAGACTGGGAGGGACAGGGAAGGGGACCAGGAGGAGACAGAGAGGCAGGAAGAAAATGGAGGTGAAGGCCTGGGGGCTCTCTGAGGTTACAGAGTGTTTGGGGAGAGAGTGGATAGCTGTAAGAGAAGGCAGAGGTCAGAGAGAGGGAGGTGGGAGGTTTCCAAGGAGGACAGCTCGGTGGGGGGGGGGGGCGACATGACAATTTAGGGTGTGGCTGCAGCGGACAGGGTGGTCAGCAATGTTCAAGAGGCCCAGAAATGGAAGGTTTGCATGTGGGGTGGCGTTGGAATCTAGGGTACGGTGGGCATCGGGGTGGGAGAAGACCGAGGCAGGCTCAGGGTCTCCAGGAATGGTGGTGGGGTGACCAGGAAGTTGGCGATGATGGTGATGAGACAGTGGGAGAGCGTAGCCAGGTGGCAGCTTTTCCACCTTGTAGGGATGGGGACTCCGTCACAGGACGGCTGTGGCCGGCTCCAGCATGGGGTGTGGAGGGCGAGCAGGCCCCACCGGCGGGAGAGAGCTGCGCCGGGGATGCTGTGTCCCCGGGGACACCTGTGTGTCCCACAGGTCATGGGGAGCGTTCCACGTGTAGAATGGCTGAAGCCCCAGGGAGGCTGCTAATGGCAGAGGGTATAAGTGGAATGTTCTGGGGAGGAGAAAACTGAGCAGACTGGGGTGGGAGGGGGGGATTGGAGAAAGGCAGAATGCTTCCATTCAGTGGTCAAGGATTGTATTTATGGATTAAAAATAAAAACAAGGAATGGAGCATGTTTCAAACAAAGAGAGTGTGAACTCGACCAGGGCAGGTGTGTCTGTCTGTGTCCTGGGGGCCGAGAAGAGTGCCCTGCACACAGTAGGTGCTCACGGAATATTTGCTCAATGAACGAATACAAACAGTGTAGGAAAAAAACCCAAGAGCCCTGTGAGTATCACCTCCAGGATGGGGATGCTTGGCCACAGTGTCTTGCGTTCTTGCTATGTCTTTGTAAGAAAGAAGTGTGATGCAGCTGGTGCCCCTCCTTGGTCCCACTTCCCCGGCTTTCCCTCCCCTTAGGTGACCACTGGCTTGAGGTTGATGATGTCCTACCCCTGAATGTTTGCCTATCTTGCCTACAGATGTGTTTAGATGTATACAATCCGCCCCTAGCCTATGGGATTTTAAACTTTCCTCAATGGAATTAGCGCAAGCCGCTTAGGTTTGTGAGATTTCTAGTTCATATAAGTAATATGATTATTGACATAAGTATAGATGTAGATACAGATAGATTCATTTTATTTTATTTTTTTAAAGATTATTTATCTATTTATTTGACAGAGAGAGCGAGTACAAGCAGGGGGAGTGGCAGAGGGAGAGGGAGAAGCAGACTCCTTGCTGAGCAGGGAGCCCGACGCGAGGCTTGATCCCAGGACCCTGGGATCATGACCTGAGCCAAAGGCAGACGCTTAACTGACTGAGCCACCCAGGCGCCCCAGAGAGATTCATTTTTTTTTTTTTTTTATTTGAGACAGAGAGAATGAGAGAGAGAGAGAGAGCGCACATGAGAGGGGGGAGGGTCAGAGGGAGAAGCAGACTCTCTGCCGAGCAGGGAGCCCGATGCGGGACTCGATCCAGGGACTCCTGGATCATGACCTGAGCCGAAGGCAGTCGCTTAACCAACTGAGCCACCCAGGCGCCCCCAGAGAGGTTCATTTTAACTGTTGTGTGGTGTTCCAGTATACAAAATAGAGCCCGATGTATTTATTTGTTGGTTCTCCTACTGAGAGACAGGTACGTTGTTGTTGATTTTCCGCTATTCAGGATGGCGCTGCGGGGCGCGTCCTTGAATTCCTCTGCTTCTGCACATGTGTGAAAGTCTCTCTAGGGTGGACACTTGGCAGTGGCATTGCTGAATATGCACGTTTTGACCCTTCACACCTGTAACCTGCCAAAGCTGATTTCAGAGTAGGATTTATTAGACCTCTGGATGGAGTAGGATTTAACATCACCTCTGGGTCACGTTAGCAGTTGCTTCTACAGTGAGACAGATAATGAAAGAGGGGGCTTTCAGGATGGCAGAATCTCGGGGTTAGAGGGCCCCCTCCAAAGCATGATTGCCCTCGATAGTGTTCTTCTCCAGTGTCTTGGTCTGATCCGCCCGACAGCTCTCCAGTGAGGGGATTGCTGCCTGTATGACTATCACTCACTCAGTCATCCATCTTCAATTTGACGAATGTCTATGGCATGCTCACTGAGTACCAGACGTGGTGCTGGGGCTGTGGGAATGAGCTGTCAGAGAGTTTGTTCTCTGGAGGGAGCCCAACTCTGTTGGGCTGGGACCTCACCGTACCGCCTAACTGAGAAGTTACTGATGAGCTAGATCAGACTGTAAACATAAACTCCCTTCTCCAGAATTGTTCTTGGGGATAAGCTGGTCAGAATTGCCTCCCAGGAGATTCCCAGGGTGGTTCCAGATGCATAAAGCACAGTAGAAGGTGGTGCGGACCTTTCTTCAATACTGAGACTCCCAGTGAGAGGCTGGTGGGCTAGGGGGACCCTGTGACTTCTCTCCATCGAGCTGTGAGACAAGCAAGAAGTGCATCTCCTTAAGCTTGTAAGAATCCCTCCCATATCCCTGTACGTGTGCCCTTTTGCAGTGGAACTTTGTCACTCCTTCATCAAAAGGTAGAGTTTCTCCATTCTTCAATCTGGGTTTGACCACATGACTTGCTTTGGACAATGGGACCTACTTTTTACTCCTCATCGATTTTAATGATTATGTGTACAGAGATACATTTCTAACCTAACAGACAAAAGTACTCAGATCAAAGATCCAGTTGTAAAAACTTGGTTCTTTTGGTGAAGTGGCCCATAAACTCGGGAATAGTCAAACTGGAACTGCCTTGGTAGCTATTAATCTCCTTCCCTTACCCTTGTGGAGTGGAGCTTGCCTCTCCCCTCTGGGGCTGTGCAGACAGGGTGGGAGGGGCTGGGCTGAGTAGATATAGGACCAGGGAGGGGCGGGGCCTGAGGGGACAAACCCAGAGTGTAAAGGCTCTGGAGGGAAGTCAAATCTGGCCAACAGATCATAAATCCAGGGGGTTGGCTCAGACGACAGGTGGCAGCGCTAGCAGGTGGGTGACATCTGGGAGGGCTGACTTGGATCCAGCAGCAGGTGTTCCGACAATAGGCAAGGCCAAGGTGAGCAATCCAAGTCAGGTGACATTCAGAAATTCAGGTGAACTGTTACCAGTGGGGACATCTGCCAGCTGGGAGGCCTGTGATCTAATCCATATAAGATGAGATAGAAAGAACATGGAAGAGTCACTGGCTGGCTGTGTGATTTTATTTTGTCTAACAACCTCTCTGACCTTTAGTTATTTCTTCTGAAAAGTGGGGATAATGATGTCTCTCTTTCAGAGTCATGGTGGGCATGGGGAAAGTCTTGGATGCAGAAGTGCTTTTCAAACCATAAGGAATTGTTACAATGCAGTCTTGGCCATTGGGCTGGAGTTCACTGGGAAGACTCCATTCCTGTGATAGGGCTGGGGTGAGAGAATTGACAAAGCAAGACAGGGTCCTACAAGAATGAAGGATGGCGGGGGTGGGGTGTCACTGAAATAGAGACTCTGACCAAGGGACATGACAAGTGGAAGCTACAGTGGTGGGGAGCTCAGTGTATCAGCCAGCTTCTGCTGTGTAACAAACCATTCCACAGTTTAGTGGCTTAAAACAACCATGTTTCATTTCTCATGATCTTTTTGATCATTTGGGTGGTTTTTCTGGTCTGAGCTGCTCATTTGGGGCAGGGTGGCCTAGGACATTCTCCTTCACATGACTGGTGTCCCAGCTGGGAAGGCTGCAATGTCTAGGATGGCATCCTCTCTTGTCCTCTAGGAGGGGGCCCAGGGTTCTCCCCAAGGCAGTCCCAGCAGCAAGGGAGGACAAGCCCCAAGTCCCAAGCACTTTCCAGGCCTCTGCTTGCATCACATTTGCTAATGTCCCACTGACCAAAACAAATCACATTGTCAGTTCCAGATATAAGAGTGATTTTACCCTCTGGCACACCATTCTCTGGGACTCCTTTCAGTGTTTGAGCTATTTAATTGTGAGCCTAGACTTCAAATCAGAATTCCCTGTCTTCTGCCAAGATCAGAGAGGTTGGCATGGGAAGGCAGAGGGAAAAGCTCTCTAAGAAATGGCTTTGTGGTATTTCTGCTTTTGCAGTCTGCTTCTGGCTGTGGATCAGGAGCTGACAGATCGGGATTCAAGTACCGGCTGCACCATTAGCTAGCTGTGTACTTGGTCCAGGCAAGGCTTCAGGAAAGTCTCTCAGCCAATGCTGGTGAGAGGACAAAGCGGCCCAATCCCCATGGAGGGGGGTTGTCAATATCTAACAAAACCACACCTGTATCTTCTGCTTGATCCAGGAACTTACGTGGATGACTTCTCTACAGATAGACAACAGCTGTACCAGGTTATTCACTGCAGCTTTATTTGCAATAGTAAAATATTAGAAACAACGTAAATACCCATGAGATTGGTTGAATAAATATGGTCCTCCAGTCATGAAGTGAGTCAAATGCAGTAATTAAAATATAATAATAATAATAATAATAATAATAATAATAATAACGGAAGATCTCCATGTAGCAGCATAGAGTGATTTCCAGGGCATATTGTTAAGTAAAAAACCAAACAACAAACCAAGCCAATTAAACAAATAAACCAAAAACCCAAGGAATCAAAGACTGTGTATTGTGTTCTATTTTTAATGTAAAAAAGAGAAATATTTACTTATTTTTGTGAAAAGAAACAGAATTAACCAAAACTAATGAAAATGATCACCTCTAGTGTGGGTGTGAATAGGGTAGAAGATATGAGGATGGAAAGGAGACTTCCTTCAATTTACTTTTTATATAGATTTAAAATGTGAACCATGTAAATGTTGTATATATTCCAACAATACAAATAAATTAAAAAGAATGAGAAAAGCGAACTCTGAAACTAAGTGCAGATAAGTGAATCTATCCACATATTAAATTGTTAACATAAGCATACAGAAAAGGGAATTAATTCTAGTTACTTTTGCTCACAATATTGACTGTATACCCTATGTGAGATATATTCTAAGGCTGTACTGTTTAATACAGTAGCCACGAGCCACATGTGAGTATTTATTTAAATACTTAAAATGAAAATACCTAAGTAAACCAAAATGCTGATATAAAATTAAAAGTTCAGTTTCTCAGTCGTAGTTGTCATATTGCTCAGTGGCCACATGTGGCTACCACATTGGGCAGCACAGTTGTTGAACATTTCCATAAATGCTGTAAGTGCTTTTAGACTATTCGGAGGATAAAAAGAACTGCAGATGAATCTTGACTTTTACTGAAGTTTGTGATAGGTAGCAGCGGTTGTTTAGCAATTTTGAAATATTTTTTAATAATAGAGGACAGGACAAATAAATGTATTAATGTTCTTGGGAAATAAATTATCACTGAGGGAGAAGGGAGGTACAAATACAGAATGAGAGAAGATGAGGAAAATCTTGCTGAGTTAGATTTTTAAAAATTTTTTATTGTTATGTTAATCACCATACATTACATCATTAGTTTTTGATGTGGTGTTCCATGATTCATTGTATATGCATAACACCCAGTGCTCCATGCAGAATGTGCCCTCTTTTTTCTTTATTTTTAAATACTTTTTTATTGTTATGTTAATCACCATACATTACATCATTAGTTTTTGATGTAGTGTTCCATGATTCATTGTTTGTGCATAACACCCAG